AGCAACAGGTTACCTACAAAGGAAACCCCATAAGGCTATCAGCTGACTTCTCACAAGAAACACTACAGGCCAGAAAGGAATGGCATGAAGTAATCAAGGTCATGAAGAACAAGGATCTGAATCCAAGACTACTCTACCCAGCAAGGCTGTCATTCAAAATAAAAGGTCAAATAAAGAGCTTCCCAGACAAAAAAAAAAGGCTAAGGCAATACATTAGCACCAAACCAGCACTACAAGAAATGTTAAAAGGACTGCTGTAATTAGTAAAAGAAATAGAAAGAAAAATATAACCAAACTAAACAAAAATGGCAATAAATGAGTACATATCAATAATCACCTTAAATGTAAATGGACTGAATGCTCCAATAAAAAAACACAGAGTAGCTGATTGGAGAAGAAAACATGACTCGTGTATATGTTGTTTACAAGAGACCCACCTCACAACAAAAGACTCACATAGGTTGAAAGTGAAGGGATGGAAAGAAATCTTCCAAGCAACCAGAAAACAAAAAAAAAGCTGGAGTAGCAATACTCATATCTGATAAAATAGATTTCAAAATGAAGGCCATAACTAGAGACAAAGAAGGCCACTATATAATATTGAAAGGATCTATCCAACAGGAAGATATAACCTTGATAAACATATATGCACCCAATATAGGAGCACCAATATATCTTAAAAATCTTCTGGAGGACTTCAGAAGAGAAATCGACAGCAATATAATCATAGCAGGGGACTTCAAGACCCCATTGACAGCACTGGATAGATCCTCTAGACAAAAAATGAGCAAGGAAACAGAGACTCTAAATGAAGCACTAGACCAAATAGATTTAATAGATATCTACAGAGAATTACACCCCAAAACTACAGAATTCACATTCTTCTCAAGTGCACATGGGACATTCTCAAAGATAGATCACATGATAGGACACAAACGAAATCTCTACAAGTTCAAGAAGATTGAAATCATATCAAGCATCTTCTCAGATCACAATGGCATGAAACTTGAAATCAATTGCAACAAAAACATGCAAAGACATTTCAACACATGGAGGCTAAATAGCATGTTATTGAACAATGAATGGGTTACCTTTAATTTCAAGGAAGAAATTAAAAACTCCCTGGAAACCCATGAAAATGAACACACAACAACACAAAATCTATGGGATGCAGCGAAAGCAGTTCTGAGAGGGAGGTTCATAGCACTACAGGCCTACCTCAAGAAACAAGAAAAATTTCTAATTGTCTAACCTCACAACTTAAAGAATTAGAAAGCAAACAAAAAGAAAACCCCAGAGCAAGTAGAAGGAAGGAAATAGTAAAGATCAGAACAGAAATAAATCATATGGAAACAAACAAACAAAAAATTCAAAGGATCAATGAAACAAAAAGCTGGTTCTTTGAAAAGATAAACAAGATTGATGGACCCTTAGCTAGATTCACCAAGAACCAAAGAGAGAGAACACAAATACACAAAATCAGAAATGAAAGTGGAGAAGTAACAACTGACACCGCAGAAATACAAAAGATCATTAATAGCTACTATGAACAATTATATGGCAACAAATTTGACAATCTAAGCAAAATGGACAAATTTCTAGAAACACACAGTCTCCCCAAAACTGGACCGGGAAGAGACAGAAAACTTGAACAGACCAATAACAACTAAGGAAAGTGAAGAGGTAATCAAGACTCTCCCAGCAAACAAAAGCCCAGGCCCGGATGGCTTCACAGGGGAGTTTTACCAAATATTCAAAAAAGAACTAACACCCATTCTCCTCAAACTATTTCAAAAAATTCAAGAAGAAGGAAGACTTCCAAATTCGTTTTATGAGGCCAGCATAATTCTAATTCCTTGATAAACATATATGCACCCAATGTAGGAGCACCAACATATCTTAAAAATCTTCTGGAGGACTTCAAAAGAGAAATTGACAGCAATACAATCATAGCAGGGGACTTCAGGACCCCATTGACAGCACTGGATAGATCCTCTAGGCAAAAAATGAACAAGGAAACAGAGACTCTAAATGAAGCACTAGACCAAATAGATTTAATAGATATCTACAGAGAATTACACCCCAAAACTACAGAATTCACACTACAAAGAAAGAAAACTACAGGCCAATATCCCTGATGAACATAAACGCCAAAATCCTGAACAAAATACTAGCAAGTCAGATCCAGCAATACATCCAAAAAATTATTCACCATGACCATGTGGGATTCACCATGACCACGTGGGATTCATCCCAGGGATGAAAGTCTGGTACAATATTCGCAAGTCAATAAATATGATACACCACATAAACAAAATGAAGAATAAAAACCACATGATCATATCAATAGATTCCGAAAAAGCATTCGACAAAATCCAGCATCCATTTCTGATAAACACACTCAGCAATGTGGGAATAGAGGGATCATATCTTGACATAATAAAGGCCATATATGAAAGACCTACAGCCAACATCATACTCAATGGGCAGAAACTAAAAACATTTCCCTTAAGAACAGTAACAAGACAGGGATGCCCACTTTCGCCACTCTTATTTAACATAGTACTGGAAGTCTTAGCCACAGCAATCAGACATGAAGAAAAAATAAAAGGGATCCTGATTGGAAAGGAGGAAGTGAAACTGTCATTATTTGCAGATGACATGATATTATACATTGAAAACCCCAAAGACTCCATCAAAAATCTACTAGACTTAATAAATGAATTTGGCAACGTAGCAGGATACAAAATTAACGTCAAGAAATCGATGGCATTCTTATACACCAATGATGAACTCACAGAAAGAGAAACTGAAAAAACAATCCCATTTACCATCGCGCCAAAAAAAACTAAGATACCTAGGAATAAACTTAACCAAAGAAGTAAAGGACCTATTTGCAGAAAACTACAGGACATTGAAAAAAGAAATAGAGGAAGATATTAAAAAGTGGAAGCACATACATTGTTCATGGATTGGAAGAATTAACATCATTAAAATGTCTATATTACCCAAAGCAATCTATAGATTTAATGCAATCCCCATCAAAATACCAACGACATATTTCACAGAACTAGAACAAATACTTCAAAAGTTCATATGGAACCAAAGAAGACCCCAAATAGCCAGGCAATCTTGAAAAAAAGAAGGACAAAGCCGGTGGAATCACAATACCAGATATCAGGTTATACTACAAAGCAACTATAATCAAAACAGCTTGGTACTGGCACAAGAACAGGCATATAAAAAAGTGAAACAGGCACAAGAATAGAGAACCCAGAAATGGACCCAAGGCAATATGCTCAATTAATATTTGACAAAGGTGGCAAGAGCATACAGTGGAGTAAAGACAGCCTCTTTAATAAATGATGTTGGGAAAATTGGACAGCTACATGCAAAAAAATGAAACTAGACCATCAACTTACACCATACACAAAAATAAACTCAAAATGGATAAAAGACTTAAATGTGACCCATGAATCCATAAAAATTCTAGAAGAAAATGTAGGCAACAAAATTTCAGACATCATATGCAGCAAAATTTTCACTGATACATCACCTAAGGCAACAGAAATGAAGAAAAAATGAACACATGGGACTACATCAAACTAAAAAGTTTCTGCACAGCAAAAGAAACAACCATCAAAATGGAAAGGCAACCCACTGTATGGGAGAACATCATTGCCAATGATACATCAGATAAGGGGTTAATTTCCAAAATATATAGAGTACTCATACAACTCAACAAAAGGAAGACAAAGAACCCAATTAAAAAATGGGCAGAGGAGCTGAATAGACACCTCTCCAAACAGGACATACAAATGGCCAAGAGACATATGAAGAAATGCTCAACATCACCAATCATCAGAGAGATGCAAATAAAAACAACATGAGGTATCACCTCACACCTGTCAGAATGGCCGCCATCAACAAATCATCAAACAACAAGTGTTGGCGAGGGTGTGGAGAAAAGGGGACTCTAGTACACTACTGGTGGGAATGCCGACTGGTGCAGCCACTATGGAAAACAATATGGTGTTTCCTCAAAAAATTAAAAATTGAACTGCTATTTGACCCAGTGATCCCATTTCTAGGAATATACCCTAAGAAGCCTGAAACATCAATCAGAAAGAATATATGTACCCCCATGTTCATAGCAGCACTATTTACAATAGCTAAGATCTGGAAACAGCCCAAGTGTCCATCAGTAGACGAATGGATAAAAACGCTGTGGTGCATATACACAATGGAGTACTATGCAGCTGTAAGAAAGAAAGATCTCTTATCCTTTGAGAAGACATGGAGGGACCTGGAAAGTATTATCCTAAGTGAAACAAGCCAAGCAAAAAAAAAGTCATACCACATGATCTCACTTATATATGGAATATAATGAACCTAACAGTCTGAGGAATAGGGTAGACCCAGAAACATGGAAGTAGGGTACAGACTGACAACCCTCAGAAGAAGGGGTGGTGGGGGGAGGGAATAGAAAAACCACAGAACTTATATGCATGTATGCATAACCAATGGACATGGACAACAAAGCTGGAGACAGGGCGGGGGGGATGGGGAGGAGGGTGTCAATGGGGTAAAAAAAGGAGAAACATCTGTAACAAAAATAAAATAAAATAAAAAAGAAAGAAACACAAAGTAGAAGGGTGGTTGCCAGGGGCTGGGGAAGTGGAACTGTTTAATGGGTACTTTCATTTTTGCAAGATGAAAAGAGCTCTGGAGACGGATGGTGGTGATGGTTGCACAACAGTGTGAATGGGCTTAATTAACACTACTGAAATGTTCGCTTAAAAATAAAGTTGTTTATTTCAATGTATATTTTACCACAATTAAAAAAATCTTAAACAGGCGAAATTAGTTTTAGTAATATTTTATGTATCACAATATACTCAAGATATTATCATTTCAATATGTAATTAATGTTTAAGAGTATTGAAATGCTTTATGTTCCTATCATACTAAGCCTTTGAAAGGTTAGCATTCAGCGTGTCTGTTACACTAACAGTGCATCTCAGAGAGAAGTAGCCAATGTCAAGTGCTCACTAGCCACGTGGAGCCAGACGATGGCCTTGATCTAAAACCTCACCTGCCAGCGTCTCCATTCTACTTGCAAAGACCCACATCTCCCCTGTAGCACCCCTGCAGCTCATCTGCAAATACACCTGCAGTTTTTCTGCAAACTTCCCACATCGTCTTCAAACACGCCCACAGCTCACAGGCCAATCCCCGAATCGCATCGCAGGCATCTTCCGAACCTTCTCAGGGTGATCTGATCTGCAGATCTCCTCTCTTCTTTGCATAAATTTGCAAAAAATTCCATAAGCCAATGGGAAACACTCTGGCAGGGCCTCAGATAGTCATCTCAAAGTCAGGGAGGCGGTGGCCTGGGGCTGGGCAGACCTCCAGGTGTCCTTCCTCTTGCTTCCCCTCGGGCTCTTCATTCTCTTCCTCTTCCTTGAGGATCTCCTCTTCCTCCTCTCCCTCCTCCTCCTCTTCCAGGAAGTCAACCAACTCCTCCCGCAGAAGCCCCATCTCCAGCCCCAGGCTACACAGCTGGCCCAGCAGCTCAACATCCATTCTGCGAAGGTTCTCCTGCCAGAGGGAAGTGGGAGTCATGAGCATTCCACCCCAGAAAGCATGCCCCACCCCAACCTGGGTGGGAGCAAGGCCCAGCTCAAGACCAAAGATTCTTTGCTTGACCAAATTTTAGTCAGCCTCCTGAACCTTTCCTCATCTGTGCACTTCCTTGTAAAATCCAGTTTTAGCAAGAATCACCATCGTCCACACCTGAATGCTCTCCATATCTTATCTAATATCTTGTCTTCCTCACCCCACCCCACCCCCACAACTCCCAGGTGATGTCTGATCACCCTGGCCTGCCTTTAGCAGGAATCAATCCTGCTGAGTCACTTCCCCCAAAATGCCCCCTTCCCGCTGATGTAGTCTTCTAGCCACTGACCCCCAGCTGCTCCTAGGCCGTAAATTTCCACTTGGCCATGCTGTATTTGGAGTTGAGCTGATCTCTCTGCTCTACTGCAAAATCCCATCGCAATGGTTCCTATACCCATCACCCTACTGCCTGTAATATGTTCTTGGGCAGGTCCTCACTGTGTCCCTGGACACTAACTGCCATCCTGCTTCTCACAGTGTCTCTTGATCTGTCTGTGTCTCTCCATTTCATTATCCCTCCCTGTCTCTCTCTCTCTCTCTCTCTGAGTTTTAGTCTCTGTCTCTTGTTTCCCTCTCTTGTTATCTGTCTCCACCTGTCTCTGTCTCTCTGTCTTTCCATATCCCTGTCTTTCTCTATTTCTCTGCCTTGTTTCCATCTCTCTGGTCTCTGTCCTCAATCTCTGATTTCCATCTCTGTCTCTCTCTTTATGGGTCTCTTTCTGTGTTTCTGTGTCTATTCCTGTCTTTCACTCTTTGGGTCTTTTTATGTGTCGGGTCTGTCTCTCTTTCTCTGTCTTCAGTTGTGTGTATGTATCTGTCTTTATTTCTCTATTCCTATCTCTTAATTTCTGCCTTTACTTCTCTATTCTTGTCTCTCAATTTCTGTCTTTCAATCTCTGGCCCTTTCTCTTTTCATACATCGCCACTCATTCATTCACTCTCCCCCGATCCCTACTCTATCTCTTGCCCCTCCAAATTCCTCACTCACCAGCTCCTCCCAGATCCACAGCAGACTCTCCCTGGCACCTTCAGTGTCTGCTCCTGGGGACATGAGGGTCTGTCCAGCTCTCTCTGATGGGGGGGCACCCCTCAGGGCCCTGGGGGGTGGACCCAGCCCTGGGGGTACCAGTCCAGCCTGTCTCAGCTGCCTCCACAGCTCCATAATCTCTGAGCAGTGGCTGCCAGGAGCAGGAAGTAGCAAGGTCCAGAATGACCCTGCCCCCTGGGGATCTGAGGTGTGGGCCGAGTAAAGGGCAGTGGAAGGGTGGGGGAAGGGTCTGACATGGCTTCCCAAAGTCCATTCTTCAATGAGAATCAGCATTTTTTTCTTTCTGAAGTCTAACCTCAACTTTGATCACAAGGGTCCAACTCCACCACTCCTTGCCTCTTCTCAGGCCTAACCCCTCCCAATGTTTTGGTATCTATTGAGGCCTGGCCTCACCCTGTCTAGCCCTCTCCTGCGTCCCTCCCGCCACTCATCCTCAAACCCCAGCCTGGTTCTTGCCTTTCTTCACTCAGGCCATCCCAGGGCTTCTCAACCAGTGTGCCTGAGGAGCCAGGAGTGGCTTCCAAGAGAATGATCCCTCGCCGGCTGCCTCGGAGTCCAGGACTCGTCCACAGATACTAACACTCTCCGCGCTGGGCCCTGCCAGGGAAAAGGTGGAAACACATGGCGGGCCTCCCTCTGCTAGAGCCCCTCTGTCGGGCCCAGAGTGTTCAAATTCCTTCGACGTGTCAGTGGCTCCTAAGTCCCTGGCCCCAGTCCCAACCTCCCTCCTGAGCTTCAGACCCCTACTCAGCACCTCCACCCTGGATGTCTCAAGGTGAATGTGGTCAAAACAGAACTCTCAGTTGGGACCTACCCCACTGTATTAGTTTTCTGGTGCTGCTGTAACAAATTACTGCAGACTTGGTGGCTTAATACAGCACAAAGTTATTCTTTGACAAGTTCTAGATGTCAGAAGTCTAAAGTGGGCTCACAGAGCTGGGCTCCTTCTGGAGGCTCTAGGGGGGAATCTATTTCCTAACCTTACCCAGCTTCTAGAAGCCCCTGCATTCCTTGGCAAGCAGCCCCTTCCCTGCATCACTCCATCTTTTTGCATCTATCATCAGGACTCTCCTGCTTCCATTTTATAATACCCTCGTGATTATACGGGGGCCATCTCAATTATCCAGGATAATCTCCCAATCTCAAGACTTTTTGTTGTTGTTGTTATGCATACATGCATATAAGTTCTGTGGTTTATCTCTTCCCACCCCCACCACCCCCAAGACTTTTAATTTAAGCACATCTTTTGTTTACACAGGCTCCAGGGATCAGAACATAGATATTGGGGGGGAGGGGGTCGTTTTCAGCCTACCACACCCGCCCTGCCACACCTGCTACTCCCCCAGTTTCCCCATCTCTATGAGTGGCATCTCTGTCCTTTTAGTTTCTCAATCTGTTGTCAGAACAGATGCATGATTTGAGCACTTCTCACCATTCCATTGCCCCATCTGGCTCCTGTCCCCTCCATCTCTGGTCTGGATGACTACAGTAGCCTCTCTGCTGCCCCCTGCTTCCACTCTTACCCTCTAAGATCCGTTTTCAGCCTGGCAGACATGATCTTTACAAAATGTCAATCAGATGGCACTGTCCTGTAAATGGAATCAAATCCTACCAGGCCTGCACAGTCAGCTCCCTGCCCTCCTCTCTGACCCAGTTTCTTCCAGATGGTTCCCACCTCTGGGCCTTTGCACTGGCTGTTACTCTGCCTGGAACACTTTCCTCCCAGAGTTTTGAATGGCTGTTTCCTTCTTATCCTCCACTTAAATTTGTCACCTCTCTGGAGAGGCTTTTGCTGATGGCCCTATATTGCAGTCACTCCCCGTTAATTACCTGTTTTTATTTGTTTCTTATCAAATACTATCTGAAATTATCTTGCTTAGTCATGTTTCTTGTCCATCCTCTCCTTGCCTGGAATGTTGACTCCCTGAGAGAAGGGCTGCGTCTGTCCTGCTCACCATGGTAACCTCAGCACCCGGAGCAGTGCTTGCCCCATGGTACATGCACAGTAAGTATTTGTGGAATGAATCAACAATTCTATCCCCAAGACTTCACAATGGATCTTCACGCTGAGCTCCAAACTGAAATCACAACACATCACTAATCTTGAGACCTCACCATCAACTCTTACCCTTGCACTCTAACTTCGCCACCCACTCGACCTTTTCCCTTCCAGGGAAAAAACATCGGGCAGCTTCTCAGGCACATCATTCCCTATTGTAAGGAAGCAGCGAATGAGAGCTGGAGAACAGGGAAGCTCAGGGAAACTGCGGCTGCAGGCGGAGGAAAGGAAGGTACTCTAACAGGAAGGGCTGCCCACCCTCTCCTAGAGAAAGGATAGGGTCCCATTATAAGCCCTGGCACTCAGAGCTATGCCTAAACCCAGGAAGAGGAAAAAGTGTGTACGCCTTTAAGAGGAGAGCGTGACCTTAAAAAGGTATCTCAAAGCCAGAGCCCGGTGGGAGGGATAAGAAAGGACCGGCCCCTTCCGGTTAATCGCAACAAGATGGCGGCGCCCAGGGCGGTAGGTGATCGGAGTTCCTAGAGCCCCCAAATTGAAGTCTGTGTTCTGCTGCCTCTGCCTTCAGGGCCTCTGTCGGCGCCCAGGATGAAAGGAGCGTGGGGCAGCAGGAGGCCTCTCCGGCCAGGCCTCGCGCTGGCAGGGTAGACAGGTGGCTGTTGGGGCCCGGGAAGGACAGAGGCAGGTCGCAGGCTGCTGAGGCGCTTCCGAGAGGAAGAGGGGGCGGGGATTTGGCGGAGAGAAACCAATGCCGAGGCGGTGAAGGCGTTCCGAAGATGGCGCGCTCAGCCAATCAGAGGAAAGGAAAAGGGAGTTGATGGGCAGGCGAGAGTGAGGGCTTGGAAAGGCTTAGCCTAGGACGCCAAAGAATACGGGTGAGGGCAACTCATGGGAGAGTCTGGAATTTTGATGGAAAGCCAAAGGGGTGATGTGAGGTGGGGGAACCAAGGGGTAAATTTGAGATGTCCAAGGGAAGAACCTGGGGGGAACTGAGGAAGGAATTTGCACTATTCGTGGAGGGAATTTAGAAAGAATTGGGTAAAGTCAGGAATGAATTTAGGGAAAATTAAGAGGTTGGACGCTTCTGAGAAATTTTGAGGGAAAAGAAGGATTTGGGCAAAGTTATTGGGAGAATTTGGGAAAAACGAGAAGTTGGTTAAAACAAAAAGAAATTGGGGACAGGCTAAGAGAAGACCGAAGGGAAGGGAAGTTGAAGGAAGAGTTTGACAGTCATTTGGAAACAAATTAAAATTACATTTTGGGGAAAGAAATAGGTTATTTAAGAAGACTCCAGGGAGAATTGGGTAACATTAAGGGGAGAATTTGTGGGAAATTATGAGGTCAGATAATGGAGGTTTTGAGAGAAATAAGCATTTGAGGAAAAAATAGGTTAAGAATTTGGGAAAACCAAGAATGTTTGGCTAAATCAGAGAGAGAATTTAGGGCTGATTATGAGGAAGAACTTGGGGAAGACATGGAGGGAAATTTGGGAATCCCAAATGCAGAATTTGGAAGTCCTAGGAAACTTTGGGGAGCGCGGGGAGGGGGTGTTCATGAACCAAGAACAGAACAAAGGGGTCCAGCTCTCTCACAAGAGGCTCTCCAGGCTCAGCCTCTCCTCTCTTCCTCCCCAGTCCCTGCACCTGGTGGCCTCGACATGGAATAGGGGTACCAGGGGCATCCGTGGTCTGAGCAGTGCAGTGGCCCCAGAGAACAGTCAGAGGAAGGGGAGGACGCTGCTCCAGTTCCTGGCCAACCGCTTCTATGATGTGGAGATTCTCAGAGAGTACCTATTCCGAAAGCAGATTTCAAAAGTACACAAGGAAAATCGGTGAGAACCCTTGGCCTGCAAGACCTTGCTGCTCTGGCCTCACTAGTCAGAACCCAGATCTTGCCCTTGCTACTCCCAGGTGGCCCTGTGGCTTCCAATACTAGCCATGCTGACATCTCTTTGTCAATGGTTCATACCCTTCCTGAGGACTCCAGTTCATATAGGCAACCTGCTGCCCTGGTCTAGCTGGCACCTTGGTCCTAACTTGGTTAACACCAAACCCTTGATTTCCACCTAAAAAATCTCACCCCCAAGCCTTCCCCATCCCAGTAAATAGCTCCACTGCCCACCCAGTTGTTCAGGCCAAATTCTAAGGAGTCGTCCCTTGATTCCTCTCTTTCCTTCTCTGCCTTCTATATCCAGTCCATCAATAAAATACTAGAATATCCCAAATTTGACCAATTCTCACCTCCTTCACTGTAGCCAGGGCTGAGCCCCTTCGTTTTGTGGTTGGATTACTGCTGTAATCTAACTAGTCAGCGTTTGCCCCTTACAGTCTATTAATAAGCTACAAAGCAGCCAAAGGATTCTTATAAAAGTAAAATAGAGAACATTATCACTTTGCTTGAAACCCTGAAATGGTTTCCAATTGCAACTAGAATGAATGTCAAACTCCAAAGGCCAAAACCTGGTACCTACTGAGCTTTGAGATGCCTACCAGGGGTTCCCCTCACCCCTGCAACATGGCGTCTTTATTGCAGTTTGGTCAGCCAGTTTGAGCCTCTGAGCCTTCACTAGCTGTTCCCTTGGCCTGGCAAGTTCGTGCCTTGACCTCTGCATTCCTTCCCACCACTCAGATCTCTGCACAAGTGTCACCTCCTCCAAGAAGCATTTCTTATCAGCCAAACCAAACTAGCCTCCTCCATCCCCATCTCTGATCCAAGCCACTCCCAGTAGGTCCCTGTGTTCTAGTTTCATCCTGGAATTGATACTGTCTGCATTTCACTCTTCCTGGTTTGTTATTGTTTCTCCCTGTAAATTAACTTCTGAAGGGCAGGGACAGTTATCTGCCTTGGTTACCACTGCCTCCCTGTGCCCAGCACTTACTAGGGACTCAGTAAATATTTGCAGCCTGACTCTGTCTGTCTGTCTGTCTGTCTGTCTGTGTGCCTGTCAGTCCTGATGCTGTGGACTCTGACCATCAGCAGCACCGGGACATGGCAAGGGGTGCAATGTTCCCCAGGCCTCACCCTCAGCTACTGTTCTCTCGGCAGATCCTTCACCTACATCAAGGAGCGATACGGCCCGTACATCGCAGGTGCCTATTTCGTCCTGAAGCAGGGAGGCGCAGTCAAGTATGACAGCAAAGGTGTCAAAACCGGGGTGGGGGGAGGCCACAGAGCAGCTCTCGAAGCCTGAGGCTCTTCAGTTAGCCAGGCTTTCCTGTGAGTCCCCTCGTTTCTGCCCCCTGCTGGTTATGTGGCTTGGGGCTTGGTCTTGAGCTTCGTTTTGTCATTTGTAAAATGGAATGGTAGTTGTATCTACCCTACAAACACATTTTGCAATGTAAACACTTGTAACAAGGTCTGACAGGGCACACCTGCTCAATAAACACTAGCTCCTTTCCTTTCCTCCTTCCCCCTGACTTCCTGCTCCAATCTTTGGGGTCTTTTTTCTCCTTCTTTTTTTAAAATAATATATTTGTATTGATTTTTAGAGAGAGAGAGAAATATCAATGAAAGAGACACATCAATCAGCTGCCTCCTGCACACACCCCACTGGGGATTGAGCCCACAACCTGGGCATGTGCCCTGACCAGGAATTGAACCAGTGACCTATTGGTCCATGGCTCAGTGCTCAACCACTGAGCCACACTGGTTGGGCCCCTTTTTCTTCTTTTTTGAAAAGCACAATTCACGTAGACTTCATCTACCTCTCATCTTTGTTCTAATTTCTACTTGGTTTGAGCTCTCCCCCCAGCACCTTCCTTAGAAAGTGTACATGTCTGAAAATGTCTTCACTGTTGCCTGTCTTCAAAGATTCTTGTATTATAGCTCTCTCCTCATGTTATCAGTCATGTCTCCAGCCCTCAGCTTCCAGGTAAATAAAATTGGCCAAACATTCCAGCCTTTATGGGATTATCAGGGGATCCGATGAGACCAGACACGTGCACCCCTTAGAACAGGGCACAGACAAGTACCTTCATTGTATTATAAGGGACTACGGAGCGGTCTTAAGAGGATGGAGGCTTGGGGACAGACCGGGTACCCACTGACACTCTTTGTCTCCCTCCGTTCCAGGTTCCAGGGCAAGGAGTGGATTCGGTCCACCGGGCGTGGCTACTTCTCTCCCCAATTGTTGAATTTCCAGGCAGTGCCTATAGAGGCCGTAGATGCCAGCGACTGCGCCATCAACTACGAAGGCCTGGACAACCTCTGTGAGTGGGGTGGATGGGGTAGGGGTGAGCAGGGCTCTGCATTTTCCCTTTCATGGTGGGCTCCCCAAGGGCCCTCAGTGCCATCTGCTCTCTTCCTCCTGCAGTGATCCTGAAGGAGCTGCAGTCCCTGTCGCTGCAGCGCTGTCCTCATGTGGATGACTGGTGTCTCAGCCGCCTCTACCAGCTGGCCGACTCCTTGCAGGAGCTCTCGCTGGCTGGTTGCCCCCGAATATCCGAACGGGGCCTCGCCTGCCTCCACCACCTCCAGTGAGACCTCAGCTCAGTCTGGGCCCTGAGCCAGGGCAGGGGCTCCCACCCAGCTAACATCCGGGGAAGTGGGGAGGGGACAATGTCAGGCAGTTCCTCATCTCCCTGCCTCCTTGACAAACCTAGAGAGTTTGGGGTGGGTAAGCACAGATGAGCAGTGGCAGTGAGTCTCTGGAAGAATGAAAGGACTCCTAGGTTTTCCTCCTTTGGTTTGAATGAAAACTCCCTATTTACAGTGTTGCAGAACCATAGGAATCAGAGGTGTCTATTTGTAATTAACATGGTGGATTTCATGGACTTGGACAGCTCTAACATGTTCTGGACAGTTAAAGACTTTTAAGAAGCTAGGGTTTGAATGGGGGCCGGTACACCCCCTCCATACACTCACACAGATGCTGTCCTTATGCGGGCCTCCCCTCTTGCTTCCTCTCAGGAACCTCCGCAGGCTGGACATCTCAGACCTCCCTGCCGTGTCCAGCCCGGGACTCACTCAGATCTTGGTGGAGGAGATGCTGCCCAACTGCGAGGTTCTGGGAGCTGAGTGGGCCCAGGGCCTGAAGCCAGGGCCTGAGGAGCAGTCTCGGGACACAGCGAGCCCTGTCCCTGCCTAGCTGTGGCCCCTCCCCATCTAGCTGGATCTCTGGGCTGTGTTGAGTGTCTGCCAGTTCTTTTGGCTTCCAGTTGGGCTCACTCATCGTGGGGGTTGGGGTGGGATGAGGGGTTTGGCACTGGAGAGCAGGTGGCCCCCACCTCATGGGTGCCCTGACTGGCTGCACTCCGAAGGTCACAGCTCCTGCCATCCTGTGAGGCAGCCCTCCCCACACGCTTCTAGTTCTAGTGAATTCCTGCTGCCTCTCCAGGCCTGGGACAGGTAAGGATTCCCAGCTGCGAGTAGCCCCAGGGAGCTGCATTCCCCCTTGGGCCCTCCCCTCCTTCCCCACTACTGTGTCAAGAGTGTTCTCAGATTAACTTCATTTAGGTGTGCTACTGTTTCCTACTGGGACCCTGCTGATGTAGGGAGTGCCCCTGGCATCCCAAAGGAATGGTTATTCCGAGTGGGACTAGTCAGCTCACCACGGGGTACGGCATCCTTGGCCCACACTCAGTGCCAGGAGCAGCCCAACCCTATGGTGTTCCGGTTTACTGATTTAACTGAACTCCGACTTTTTGTCTGCACTTTGAAAAGTGATCTGGGCCCTGGTCGGTGTGACTCAGTGGTTTGAGCGTTGGCCTGTGCCTGGAATGGTCATGGGTTCGATTCCCAATCAAGGGCATGTACCTGGGTTGCAGGTTCGATCCCCAGTGTGAGCAGGAGGCAACGGATAGATGTGTCTTTCTCACGTTGAGGTCTTTCCACCACCACCCCCCAGCTCCCTCCCTCCCTTCCACTCTTTCTAAAATAAAAAAAAATTCAATGGAAAAAATATCCTTGGGTGAGGATTAACAAAAACACTGATCTGGGCCTTTGAAATACTTTTCCTTTGCTAACTGGCATCAGCCTTGTCAGTAGAAGGCGCTCAAGAGACACTGCAGGAGGCCAGGCTCTCGCTTCTGGCTCTGCGGGTTCCTGCCAGCCAGTGGCTTCTCCAGAGCCAGGCGGCCAGAGCCTCCCCTGGCGCCCTGCCCTGCCCTGCCCTGCCTCTGGCAGTTTCTTCGAGGAGTGTCTCCACTGAGCCACCTCCTGTGAATGACTCCACCACACCCCAGAGGTGATTTCCAGTCAATTCCCAGGCACCTTACCAATGAATCCCTTATCAATTCAATTCACTGTTGAAGTCAGTAATTCTTTACATTAAACTTTTCTTGTCCAAATAACTGGTTTTTCCCTCTCCTGATTGGATCCAAACTGATACAGCACTTGTATCCAGGGTTCCAGGAGACAGGCTCACAGAGATGGGGTTGGGCCGAGGCACCGGATGTCCATGGCATGCAGTGGCCTCACAGTCAGGCCATCACGGGTTTATTGGCATGAGGTTTATTGCCACGTGCCCCGGGAGCCCTCAGGCCACAGCACTTGACTTCTGTGGCAGTGGTGATCATCCTAAAGATGGATTCTCGCCTGGCCAGTGTGGCTCAGTAGTTGAGTGTCGACTCATGCACCAAGAGGTCGCCGGTTCAATTCCCAGTCAGGGCACATACCCAGGTTGTGGGCCCAATCCCCAGTGGGGGGCATGCGGAAGACAGCCAATTGATGTTCTCTCATCGATGTTTCTATCCCCCTCTCCCTTCCTCTCTAATATCAATAAAGAATAAATAAATAAAGACAGATTCTCTGCAGTGCCCTTGATTGCTTATATACAAGGACAGGCTCGGATCCGCTACCTCAGCTCCAGTCACAGTCTCAGAACTGGAGCACTTCTGTGACAGCCCCCAAAAGTTCTAGTAGCCACAGGGCTGTTAGTACTGAAAATAGAACACAGCATTTAAGTTTGCAGGTTAATGATGGTTGAATTCCGTCTCCTCGTGTGAAAGTGAGAGTGCTGACATTTGGAATGGGGTCATCTGGTTGGACCCAGAAGAAACACGATCTTGAACCCCCCGTCAGTGAGTCTCCTTAGCAGCGTTTGAGGAGACCACCAGCCTTCCTGTGCTTGAAAGCCCTGGGATGTGATGGGGCAGATGTCCACTCTTAAGAGTCATCACAAGCACCCTGCTGTCATTAGACCCATAAATACCTGGGGCCAAATCACCATGCCCCAGGGGACAGGTGCTCACTATGACATGAGAGGCAACAGCTTGTACACTAAAAGAATTGCAAGACTCAAATATACATCCAGTCGGAAACCTGGGGAACTCGTGCAGGAGTGGCTTCTAAGGGGGAGACCAGTGAGGGTGGACGTGAACGACTGGGCCGCGTTCACTGGTACAAGGGTAGAGATTCTGGATTTAGTGGATTAGCTTGTGCAGCTGCGGGTGGTTCTAACTGCTTTCTTGGTTAGGTGACGTGGACTTGGGCTCCACAGTGGCCTATAGTTCATGAAGCCAGAAGCCAGAAGGGATCCAAAGCCTTAGGGAGGCAGGATGTTGGGTTGGGTTGATCACAGTCAACTGGCACATCAATCCCCCCAACTCTGTTCCACAAGAAGGCCCTCCTTAATCATTCTTGATACTCAACTTTCCCTGTTCCCACTGCTGTGTGCTTTCCCTCCTGACTGGATGCAGACTGATGCACACAGCAACCAAAATGGTACCCTCAGGGATTTCCAAACAACCCAGGAGGGGCAGTGTCACCCTGTGGGAGTAGCTAGCTGAGCCAGGAGAGCTCAAGGACTGGACCCCTTTCTCTCAGCCCTGGGTGAGGGCTGGACCCCCACCCAGAGCGTTGAGGCCCACTCTAGTTTTTAGTCCATTAATATTCTCTACTTCCTCTGCACTGTCTTCCTCCAGCTGGTCCCATGGGCTCCATTATTCAAACTTAGGTGGAGGAAATCAGCACTGGACAGATAATCAACTGCTGTTGCTAACAGGCAGGGTCCCTGAGACAGTCCTCCCCAACCCTGAGTGCGAAAAGCTGGTCAGGGCAGGCTCAGCCCCACCCTGGGTCCCAGGAGGTGTGGGAAGAGGAGGCTCCACTGGCCGACTTCCCCAGACAGCAGATGCAGCCCCAACAGCAGAAGCCTCAGGAAGGCATTGGTGTAACCACAGGCAGACACCTCCTGCCCCTGGGGGCCGGAAGAGTGTTCCGGAGTCCCTGTGCAGCTGTGTGGGGCGCTGGAGTGGGGGCTGCGTAGGAATGGGTACCCTCCCTGTGGTCAGACAGCCTGTCTCCGAAGGGGGTGGGCGTGCAGGGTTGGCTCAGCTTGAAGGCTCCCTGTGCCCCCAACCCTCTATCGCCCTCTAGCGTGGCCCCACCTGCAGATGCCCCTTCTCCCTCCACCTGGTTCTCTCCCGCTCCTCCTGAGCTCCCTTCTCCACTTCTCCCTCAGTCTGGTTGTTTGCAGACTCCCTCCTCTGACCCCATTTGAGCTCCTCCACCTGCCTCTCTAAATCTTCCCCTCTATCCTTCGCCGTGGGGGCTTCCTGGCCACCCCTTATCTCTGGCTCACTGTCTCCATTTCTCTCCTCATCCTCTATCTCACCTTGCAGTGCTCTCTACTTGCATTTTTTAAAATATATTTTTATTGATTTTTTTTTTAGAGAGAGAGTAACATCAATGAAAGAGAAGCATTGATTGGCTGCCTCCTGCATGTTCCCTACTGGGGACAGAGCCTGCAACCCGGGCAGGTGCCCTGACTGGGAATCAAACCGGGATCTCTCAGTCCATGGGCCAGCGCTCAATCCTCTGAGCCATGCCAGCCAGGCCATTTGCATTCTTGAGTCTCCAGCTCCTTCCTGTTTCTCCTCCTGGCCTCCCCAGAGGTCTCTCTGCCAGTCTCTCCTCCTCACCAGCCCCATCCCACACTGACTCTGCCCCCCCTTCTGGCAGGCTGACCAGTTCCCTCTCAGCACATTCTCTGCTGCCTCCTTCTTCAACTAGGCACCAGCCCCTCGTCTCCCTCTCCCGGCCTTGCAACTTTGGGACTGTGCCTGTCCTTGGTCCATTCCAATACCACCCATCCCGGGGTTCAGGCCTGGCTGTCAGTCTCACCCTCTCTCTTGACTCTCCCAGGCCCCTGGTTCTCCCCTCCCAGGCCTCTGTGGGTGCCCCATCTGTCTGCAGCCAACCCTGCAGCCTTCCCTCCATCTCACCAGAAAACCAGCCCCAACACGCCAAAGCCCCATCTCTCAGGTTGGCCTCCTGCCCTCCCCTTCTCCCCCGCCTCCCTCAGCCCCGCCCCGGCCCCTCCCAGCCCCTGGGGCCCTCCCAGCCGCCTGCTCCCCTCCCCGCTCCACCCCTCTGGACGGCTGGGCTGGGCAGAAGAAAAACGACACGTGAAGAACAAGGACACAGCCAGCGCCGGCTGGACCAGGGCAGGAGCTGGGAGGGCCTGACCAGAGGCCTGGGGCAGCGGAGCCGAACCCAGAGGTAAAGAGAAGGGAGCAGATCCATGGCTCCCCAGTCCCTAGGGTGGGGACAGTTGGATCGAGGGAGACTGGGTTTCTCTGACACTGGAAGGAGCCGGCCCCAGGGATCCCGCTTCCTGGAAACGGGGATGAGTGGAGGAGTGGGAACAGGCAGGTGGAAGGGGGTGGGCTGAGAGTGGACAGAGCGGTGTTGGAATGGGACTGGAGCAGTGATTCCAGGTCCAGGAATAGGGAAAACTTGGGTCTTTGGTTAGGGCCATCGCAAGGGGTGGCGGGGACTGTGAGCCTCACCCTGCACTCCAAAGCCTCTGTGGCCCTTTGCAGCTCCCACAGCCGCCCCTTTCCCAGGCTGGGTCATGCGCTGCCCTAAGTGCCTTCTCTGCCTGTCAGCACTGCTCACGCTCCTGGGCCTCAAAGTGTACATTGAGTGGACGTCAGAGCCTCGACTGAGCAAGGCCTATCTGGGACCGCAGGGCACCCTGCCAGGCTCCACACCAGTCAGTCCCGAGCCCACCCTGCCAGCTAACCTGTCGGCCCGTCTGGGCCAGACTGGCCCACTGCCCTCGGCTTACTGGAACCAGCAGCAGTGGCGGCTGGGGACCCTGCCCAGTGGGAACAGCACTGAGGCGGGGGACTGTGGGGCTTGGGGGGCTGCTGCCGCTGCTGAAATCCCCGATTTCACCTCCTACCCTGAGGACCTGCGCCGCTTCTTGCTGTCAGCAGCCTGCCGGAGCTTCCCTCGGTGGCTGCCTGGAGGTGGCAGTGGCCAAGTGCCCAGCTGTGGGGACACCAACATCCCCTACCTGCTGTTGGCTGTCAAGTCAGAACCGGGACACTTTGCTGAACGACAGGCTGTGAGGGAGACCTGGGGTGGTCCCGCTCCCGGAATCAGGCTGCTCTTCCTGCTGGGGTCCCCAGTGGGTGCGGGGGGCCCTGACCTAGGCCCCCTGGTGACCTGGGAGAGCCACCGCTACCGTGACCTGCTGCTTTGGGACTTCCTGGACGTCCCCTTCAACGAGACGCTCAAGGACCTGCTGCTGCTGTCCTGGCTGGGCCAGCACTGTGCCAGCGTGAGCTTCGTCCTGCAGGCCCAGGACGACGCGTTCGTGCACACTCCGGCCCTGCTGCAATACCTGCGGGCCCTGCCACCCAGCGGAGCCCGAGGCCTCTACCTGGGTGAGGTCTTCACCCAGGCCAAACCCCTCCGGAAGCCTGGAGGACCCTTCTACGTGCCTGGGTCCTTCTTTGAAGGTGACTACCCGGCCTATGCCAGCGGGGGTGGCTACATCATCGCTGGGCGCCTGGCACCCTGGCTGCTGCAGGCGGCAGCCCGTGTGGCACCATTCCCCTTCAATGATGTCTACATTGGCCTGTGCTTCCGTGCCCTGGGCCTGGCGCCCACGGCCCACAAAGGCTTCCTCACAGCTTGGCCAGCAGACCATAAGGCTGACCCCTGTGCACTCCGTGACCTGCTGCTGGTGCGGCCCCTCAGACCCCAGGACAGTATTCGGCTCTGGAAACACCTGCAGGACCCTCAGCTCCACTGCTGAGCCTCAGTGGGGTTGGGAGGGGAGGGCTGACCCGGCCTGGGCCCTGGGCAGGGCCTCTGTGCCTGCCTCTTGCCTGCCCCTTGCTCAGCCTCTCCTTCTAGGCCTTCATGTGAAGGGGGAGGTCCCAGAATCACGGCTGTTTGAGCCCCTCCTGGGCTGGCCCAGGCTATGGGACTGGGCAGCAGGAGGCAGAGGACTTTGTGTCTACTTTATGTTTTCTCAAAATATGAACTTCCCACTCTGAGGTCTGGAGTTGTCTTTGTGCCTGTGGGGCCCCAGGAAGTTTAGAAGAGCAAAGCTCAGCCACCCATACCCTGCACACCCTGACCTTTACACTTAGATACCCTTCCCACCTTACTGAACAGGGCCAGCTCCAACAACCTCCTGGCCACCCTGCTGGATACCAGGTGTGCCTCATTCCACGGAAGAGCAGGCGTCCAACTCGAACCCCCCTGCTGAAGCTGGCCCTCCAGCTTGTGCAAGTTTCCAGGGGAAGTAGACATCGCAACAGCCTCGGCCTTTTTCAGCTAACTGAAGCGGCGGGGTCCAAACCAGTCATGCAGGACTCTCCTCCCACCACCAACACTCCAGGAAACAGACCAAAGGTGGCAGAGAGCCAAATGTACAGACACCATTTATTCACTGCCTGCCGACCCCTCTCACTGAGTGAGTTCCACAGGCTAACTGGCCGTACCTGCCCCCAGCCCAGAGGGCTTCCAGTCCTGGAGGCACCCCTGTCTAGCCCCTGGGAGAAGGCACTATAACCACAGTCAAAGTGGAGGCTGAGAGGGCCCCAGAATGTACTGCCTAGAGCAGCAGGGGTGGTGAGAGGAAGCCCCGCCCTGACCATCTCAGCACTGCCCTGGCCCCCGAGGATCTTGGAGGGAGCTGGCTGGGGAAGGGGGTGGTGTCCTGCCAGCTTCCCCCACCTCTCAGTCTGGGGCTGCCTCTTGGGGTACCTGAGATGGGTCGGGTGGGGTGAGCAGGCCTCACTTCTCGAAGTGGTCCAGGGGGTAGTGCTCGCCATAGGTCTGGAGGTGACGGGCCAGGGACTCCTGCTGCTTGCGGAGCTGGGCAGGCATCTCCTGATACACGTCCGAGAAGAGCAGGTTGGGATTAGGCTTCAGCTTCCGCTCCGCCTGCTCGAAGGCCTCCATCACCTGGGGACACGGGACAGTGGACAGGTAGCCGGCCTCCTGCCCAGGGTCCTGCCTCCTACCTATAGGACCTCAGTGAGGCATTAACCCCTCTGAGCCTTTGTGTTCCCAGCTGGACGATGACCATCACAGTGGTGACAGCTAACATCCCCATCAACACCCCCAGTCCCAGTATCTCCCTCCTTCGTGAGACCAGGCGTTGACCTAAGTCTGTGGAATGGTTTCAGGCTCAGCAGCCCTAAGAAGTGGGCAGCTTACAGATGAGGACACCAAGGCACAGAGGAGACCTGCTTGACAGTGCAGTTAGGGCAGAGCTGGGCGCACTGCTGCCCGACGCCAGGTCTGCCCCTACCTCTGGCCTACAACTGCCTCTGACTCCCGGTGACCAGAGCAGGAGGACAGCGGGCTGGCTGTGCATGGGACACTCCCACCACACGCAGATTAAGTCACCTCATCCCCAACCTGACGCTGGTACCCAGGATCCCTCTTCAGAGATGACAGCAGAGGGCAGACATCGTGCCAAGGATGTGGCCGAGGTCCATGTGCCCAGGCAGCCTGGCTCCATGGGCCACACTTACAGACACCACTGGGGTGATTCCCGAGTGTCTCAGTTCAATGTCCCCCAAATCCCAGCCGACACCTTTCCAGGGTTTCCCATGATGCACCACTGGACACACCCCTGGGCCGTAGCTCTCCAACAGAGGGAGGCCCTTACCTTCTTGCGAGACTGCTTCCTCCAGGCCTTCTCCTGCTCATTGTCCCACCAGCCACGGCTCTCCATGTAGTGCCGCAGCCGGGAGATGGGGTGGTCCTGCTTGTCCCAGTAATTGACCTCGTCCACAGAGCGGTATGCCGAGCTGTCGTCACTGGTGCTATGGTGCCCGATCCTGCCCAAGGGGAGGGGTGTGGACAAGGAATAAAGGCAAGGAAGGGGATACAACATGGGGTGATAGGGTCAGGCTTTGGGGACCCCAGTGATCGAGGTGGGAAAGATGGTAAGAGGGTGGCTGTCAAGGCTGGTTGGGGAATGAGGGGAGGCAGGCACCTATAGGTCATGGCCTCGATGAGGAAGGGCTGGTTCTCTGCCACAGCCCGCCGCCGGGCCTCCTTGGTGGCGTTATACACAGCGAACACGTCATTGCCATCCACGCGGATCGACAGGATGCCATACCCAGGGCCTCGCGCCGCTGTGGGAAGAGAGGCAGCTCAGACCTCATGGCTCAGATGAGGACCGTGAGCAGGGGATGAGGGAAGGAGGGAAAGGGGAGGAGAGGAGAGCAAAGAGAGCAGCGCTCTGTTCACGGTCTCCTGCGCCCTTCCTGTGCCAGACAGGTGGGGAGAGGAGCCGACGCAGGCCCATACCGATGCCGTCCCCGCGGTACTGCTCGGAGGTGGGTGTGGAGATGGCATAACCATTGTTCCGGCAGAAGAAGATGATGGGGCACTCAAGGGTGGCGGCGAAGTTGAAGCCGGCGTGGGCATCCCCCTCGCTGGCTGCCCCCTCACCGAAGTAACAGATGACAATCCTGTTGGCATCGGTCCGCTTGGCCGCGTAGGCCGCCCCCACCGCTGCAGGCAGGGGGAGGGTGGTGAGCAGGTGCGGAGCCCCAGCTGCTCCTCACTCTCCCTCACACTCACACTCACACGCCCCCGTCACCACAACCCCAGGCTCTGGGAGTTAGCTGGCTATCACCAAACGCTGAGGGGAAAGAAAACACCTGACATTAGCCCTGGCCAATGCGGCTCAGTTGGTTGAGCATCCTCCCATGCAACGAAAAGTCACAGGTTTGATTCCTAGTCAGGGCACATGCCCAGGTTGCAGGTTCAGTCCCTGGTGGGGATGCATATGGGAGGCAATCAATCAACGTTTCTCTCACATCAATGTTTCTCTCACATCAATGTTTCTCTCTCCCTCCTTCCCTCCCTCTCTTTCTAAAAGTCAATAAAAACATATTTTTTCAAAAAAGAAAGCTCTGGGCAGTGTGGCTCTGCAGTCAGAGCACTGGCCTGCACACCGAAGGGTCGCAGGTTCCATTCCTGCGCGAGGGTACATACCTGGATTGCAAGTTCGATCCACAGCCCCAGGCTGGGGCACTTGTAGGAGGCAACCCATCAATGTGTCTCTCTCACATCAATGTTTCTCTCCTCTTTCCTTCCACTCTCTCTAAAAATCAATGGAAAAAATATTCTTGAGTGAGAAAGAAGAAAGAAAGAAAGAAGGGAGGGGAGGGGAGGGGAGGGGAGGGGAGGGGAGGGGAGGGGAGGACCTAATATCCCCTCTAACTGACCCCTCTGACCTGCCCCACCCCTGAGGGTCTTCTCCCCTCAGCTGACAGCAGCTCTATCCTTCTAACTCCTCAGGCCCCAAAGGCCAGCATCATCTTTGACTCAACTCTTTGTCATCCCCACTTACTCCACCTTTAAAACAGAGCCAGAATCTGACCCCTTCTCCACATCTCCTTCACCTCACTGGTCCACCCTAGGCCCCTTCTACTTGGGGGCAGCCAGAGGACTGCTTGGTCGTGAGCCAGGCCAGTCATCGCACAGCTGACTCCCTCCGCCTCCCCACGGCCCCATGGCCCCCATTCCACTCCGGGTTAAAGTCAAAGGCTCTGCGGCCCCACCGATCTGCACCCTCCCATACCTCTCTGACTGACCCCCATCCCCATTCACAGCTGTCCCACTGGGCTCCTCTCTGCACCTCAAACATATCAGGCAGGCCCCACCTCAAGATCCCAGCTGGCTGCCCCCTCGCCTCCTGGTCTGTATTGAAATGTTAACCTATTAATGCCACTCCACCTCCCCATCACACACCCCTCCTTCCCCTCCTCATTTCCCACTGTGGGACTTATCAACCCTGACACACTCTGCAGGTCACTCCCCCTTGTTTACTGTCTCCCCTACCCCCACGTCAGCACCAAGCAGGCTGAGGGTGTTGCCTGTCTCTTGTTTACGGCACCTAGAATGGTACCCACACAGCAGGGACTCTGTGCGTTTGCGACTGAGTGAAGTAATGGTCACCCAAAAGGAAGGTGAGGGCCAGGGTCCTGCCTTCTGGAAATCCTACTACCTTCAGCAGAAATGCCACCTCCACCCAGAAGGCTGTCCTGCCCACCTCCCACCTCAGAGACATGAACGGCTCACTCCTGGTTTCCAAACAGAAGGCCGTGAGCGAACATGCATGAGGCCTTCTGATGCGCCAGGCACTCTGCAAAAACCCAGCAGACACAGCAACTCATGTATCTGGGTTGCCCTGAGCAGAGAGCCGAAGCCCAGACTGACCCTGGAGGGCGGTCAGCTTCCATGGTCCCTGTGCTGTACAGGCTCAGGCCCAGCCCTGATGAGTCTGCTTCCCACATGGTCATCTTTAACAGAAGCCACCCCATTGCCCTAGGTGCTGCGGACTTCCAGAGTAAGCTTTAGTAAGCTGGACTCGGAGGACTGAGGCAGAGAAGGGTTGGGGTCAAGAACCCAGGCTCTGGAGGCACACAACCCATAGTTTGAGTCCTGCTTTTCTCACTACCTGCTGGGTGACCTGCCAGGAAGCTGGGACACGCACAGTCACACGCAGCTGGCTGTGTCTGTGCACGGACAAGTGGGGTGGACACAAGTTTCGGGAACCAAGAGTGTGGTCAGGCTGGCTCAAGCCTGCCAAACAAGTGAGGATGCCACCACAGCCCTCCTCTGAAGGCTCCCAGACAAGAGAGGTCTTGCAAGTCCGGAGGCCAGACCAGGGCTCTGACTCTGACTCTGCTACCAACCAGGAAGCCCCGCTGGGAGGGAGGGCTGGGCCTGCACAGGGGTACGGCACTGGTCTGTGCGTCCTCACCCTGAGGAATCTGTGTGGCCAGTGGAGAGGAGATGGTGACGAAGTGACGCTCCTTGCAGCCGTAGTGAACGGGCATCTGGCGCCCCTTGCCCAGGTCGTTCACGTTGCCGTAACACTGAGCCATGAACTGTTCCAGGGGGAAGTCCCGATACATCAGCACACCTGCATGGGGAGGAGGCAGCAGTTACTGGGGGAGGGGAAGTCAGGGGGACAGAACAACCTTGTGGGGGACCCAGGGCAAGGTCCTTCCTGCCCGAGCTTTCATTTCCGTTTGTACAGTAAGGGAGCTGGACAAGAGCAGGGAGGCACACTGGCATGCGTAGAGGACCAGTAGGTGCAGGAACCGGGTGGGCAGACCAGAGAGAACAGACCTGTCTCAAGAGGGAGACCAGCCCTGGCCGGTTTGGCTCAGCGGTTAGAGCGTTGGCCTGCGGACCACTGAGTCCCGGGTTCGGTTCCTGCTGGGGGCACGTACAAAAAAAAAAAAAAAAGAGGGAAACCAACTGATTGCTACCCAGGGAAGCTAAATCATCCAATTCTTTAAAAAAAGAGAGAAACCTAGCATGCTCTTTGTTTTTAAATGAGAAACTACCTTATTTTTAAACACTTCAACTAATTTGATTACTTTTAAAAATCATCATATGAACCAAATAGAAGTATGGACCACTATTCTGGACTAGAGAGGAAATACTCAAACCTGTTTATGGCAGCAAAACCCTTTCCTTAAATAAAATCTCCAGTAGATGCCCCCCACCAGGCTCGACAGGTAACTGATGCTCGCCTCACCTGGCTGGTGGGGGCTTCCTGCAGGCAGCACAATCTGGGCACTGCTGTTCAGAGTACTTTGTTCTCCCCACTCCACAGCGGGGAGACTGCGAGTCAAGGACGGGCACAGGGCCTGCCTCACCTCACCCACCGCTAGGGTCCTCAGCAGCAAGACTGCACTGACCTGTGGTGCCAAGGGCCCAAACAGCCCTGTGTGGAGAGCCCAGCTGCCACCAGGATTCTAGGGCCCTCATGGCCCTGCCTGGAGCCCTCAGCAGAGACAAACATGCAAGAAGCAGTCAGCAAACCTGGCAGGGGCCTGGCTTGCAGCCCAGTGTCTGAGGAAATCTTCCTTGCTAACGATGTTGAACCATAGACTATCACAGGGCGTCGTCTGTCGTCCTGCAAGTGGGATGGGGGTCTGGTGCCACGGAAAGGGAAGTAGACAGTCCAAGAGTGGACCAGAACATGCTAGTCCAGGGAGGGTTCTGCACTGCCAGCCTGGCCAGGTCCTGCCTCCCTCTTGAAAAGCTGTCTCACGATGAGAGGCTCCACTCACACCTCACCTCCAACACTGAGTCCTCACCCCACGCCAGGCCCTGTACTAATGGCTTTGCATCATCTATCCCACAAACCCCCTCAACAGCCATGTTGAGAGGGTTCACCATCTCCCACTGTACATGGGAAAACTAAGGAGCAGTTAAGCAACATGCCCACGGTCATGAAGTATCTAAGAGGAAGGCTTAAGATTTGCCTCCCTGGCACCCCAGGAGAAAGGCTCCCTTGCAAGGCCCCCATACCAACAACCAGTCTGAAACCACCCCACTCAGCTCCCCAGGCTAACCCCTTTACCCCAATCACTCTTTTACGCATATTGATTTTCCTCAGCCCTAGCCTCTGATCCTTCCTTCCATGCACTCGATCTCTTAGAAGTGAGCTGGGACCCACCAGGCCTTCCCATCTGCTTCTGGTCCCTGAAGGCTGCAGCGCCGGCAGAGGCCAGCAGAGCCCGCACTGTGTGGATGGGCCCACCTGCAGCGAGGCCTGCCCTCACTGAATGCTCCCAGCAACACCCCAGTGCAGGAGTTACAATACCATCGTCATCTTGATTTTGGAGATGAAAAAACTGACATTCAGAGAAGGAAAGTGCCTTGCCCCGAATCCGACAACTGGTAGCCATGGACCAGTTAGGAGCACAGGTTCTTAACCACAACAGTGCCTGGCTCCACAGAGAGGAAGCCCACACCTACCCAAACTGCTATATCTGGCTTGGCTCCTTCTTGCTTGGAAAGTTCTTCCTCTAGCTCCTTGGACCTCCCTGGCAGCACGCCACTCCTTGAAGAGCAAGCACATGGGGTAACTAATGTGGGCCGGGCTTTCCTACCAGGAGGAACTGAGCCTGACCTGCCTCGGTGGGGGCTACAGACCCAGGCCTCTGACTTGTGCTCCCCAAAAGGCCAGGCTATAGGCAGACGTACCTGCCTCCCGATATTGGCCAAACACCAGATCCGTGTTGTCCAGGGCTGCTGCACTCCCCACGTGCGTCCCCTCCTCACCATAGTTGGTCATATAGAAGGAGATCCGGCCCTGGGGATAGAGAAGGGCCCAGAGGCCCGGGATCAGTTACACTGGACAACCACAGAGAACCATTCAAATCCTGACCATCTGATGACTCTATTAATCGGCAGATACTTCCTGAAGGCCACTCCGGGCCAAGCCACGCTGGGGTTTTGGCTTTCATGGAGAACTGCCAGAATGGTTAAAGTGAGGGGACTGTGTGGCAGGAGCCATAAGGACATACTCACCCCACCAGGGAGGAGCACCAGGAGCAATGCCTAAGCTGAGCAAAAGTGGCAGTGGGTGGAGGTTTCCAGGCAGAGAGAACAAAGGCCATGAAGTGGGAGGGGTGGGGAAGGATAAGGCAGGAGACAGACGCAGAACCCAGGTAGTGCAGGGAATGAGAACATCTGGACTTCACCGAGAATAGTGGAAACCTGCCCACAGATCTCTTTGGGGAGTAATGTTTCAGAAAGGTCTCTCAAGCTGCTCTGTGGGAAATGGATGGAGGAAACCAGACTGAGTGCAGCAAGCCATGCAAGAGGGGCAGTGGCCTGGCCTGGGAGTGCTGACAAGGAGGGAAAGGAGTGGATGGTTGAGTACCTTAAGAAGCAGTTAGCGTGCTCAACTTGACAGCACATATACTAAAACTGGAATGATACAAAGATTAGCATGGCCCCTAGGCAAAAATAACATGCAAATTCAGGAAGTGTTCCATATTTTTTATTGACAATAGCCGAGATATGTAAGCAACCCAAATGCCTATCAATAGACAAGTGCATAAAGAAGATGTGGTACGTATATACAATGGAATATTACTTGGCCATAAAAAAGAATGAAATTTGCAATAACATGGATAGACCTAGAGGGTATTATGTTAAGTGAAATAAGTCAGAGAAAGACATGTATCATATGATTTCACTTATATGTGGAATCTAAAGAATGAAATTAGTGAACAAACAAAATATAAACAGCCCTGGCCAAGTAGCTCAGGTGATTAGAGCATCGTCCCACTACACCAAGGTTGTGGGTTTGATATCTGGTCAGGGTTCATACAAGAAGCAACCAATGGCTCAGGCCAGTGTGGCTCGGTGGTTAGACTGTCGGCCTGTGCACCAAAGGGTCAAGGGTTCATTCCCCAGCCCCAACCAATTGATGTGTCTCTCTCACATCGATGTTCTTCTCTCTCACCCTCCCTTGCTCTTCCTCCATCCTTCCTCCCTTGCAGTCTCTCTAAATATCAAGTTTAAAAAATCCTTTGGTGAGAATTAACAAAAAAATATTTTTTAAAAGAAGAAGCAAGCAATGAATGCATAAATAAGTGGAACAACAAATCGATATGTCTCTCTCTAAAATTCAATCAATATGTAAAAAAATTTTTTTAAAGAAGGGTAAATTGGTAGTTACAAAATAGTCACGGGGATGTTAAGTACAGCATAAGGAATACAGTCAACAATATTGTAATAACTATGTGTGGTGCCAGCTGAGTACTTGAATTATTGGGCAGAACACTTCATAAATTACATGTTTGTCTGACCACTATGCTGTACACTTGAACCTAATATACTGAATATCAACTGTAATTGAAAAATTAAATTAAAAATAAAAGAGCCCTGGCCAGTTTGGCTCAGCAGTTACAGCTTCAGCCCGTGGACCTAGGAGTGGCGAGTTTGATTCCGGTCAAAGGCACGTACCTTGGTTGCAGTTCATCCCCATCCCTGGCTGGGGCCATGCGGGAGGAAACCAGTTGATGTGTCTCTCTCACACTGATGTTTCTCTCTCTCCTTCTCTCTCCCTCCCTCCTACTCTATCTGCAGATAAATAGAAAAATATCCTCGGGTGAGAATTAAAACAAAGAAAAGAAAAGCAGCAGTCAGTGGTACTAGGGAGTGGCAGACCCTCCTGGCTGGCTACACTGGTGCCCAAGCCCAGAGCCTGGAAAAGCCAAATGTTAGATTCCCTCAGAGCCACAGGACACAGCTCTAGACGGAGACTTAAGTGGAAGTCTGCTTTTGCTTTCTTGATAAAAAAAAAAAAAATACCACTGTAGCTGGTGCCAGCCCTTGCCCTGCCTTTCTTCCTGCCTGGCACACAGCTGTGAAGCCTGGGCCTGTGGCAGCCATCTTTGGACATGAGGCAACAAGCACACGATGAAAGCCAACTCACCCATGTTGGTGCCGCTGAGCAGCAAAATGGATTTCTAACTAAGTGCCTAGGGACAGAGTGAATGAGGGAGACAGTGATAGCAGGGGTGGGGGGAAGGAGGAGACAGGAATTAAATGCAGGTCTCCAGTTTGGGCAAATGGGTGGATGATGGCACCCTTCACTGAGAACTGGCCTAAGGGAGGAAGAGGAGCAGGTCTGGGGGGCAGATGCTGAGGCCAAGTTTGGACAGGCTGAACCTGGTGTGGGACATCAGGACAAGAAGCCAAATAGATCTGGGCTAAGAGGTGAAGTCTAGTTGGAGATCTGGGGAGTCCCTGGCATAAAGACAGACATGAACCCCCAGAACTACATGTGCAGTGAAAGAGAGACCCTGGGCTGGCACCTGTAGGATGCCCTCTGCATAGTCTTCATGTGTTCTGCAGGCCTGGCTTCTGTAATAGTGGGGGAACCAGATGAATAATGCTTCCTTCTAAGTGGGGAGCCAATTAAAAGGTAATTGACTTCCCAGAGCCAAGTTGAGTGGGTGGATGCCAGTGCTGGCCAGGCTGTGAGATTGGCGAGGGGAGGAGCCTGAGAGGAGCCCCCTGAGGAACCAGGACCTGGATTACTGGCAGTCACTGGCTGCCACCCAGCAGTCTACCCCTCTTCCTCTTTGCTAACAGAGATCTCATTCCACTGCAGGCAGCAACTGCCCAGACTACAGCACTACGTTTCTCCTCCCTTGTAGCTAAGAGTGACCAATGAAATGTGAGATATTAGGACCACCTGGAAAGTTCTATGCAGGTGGCTGTGGGAGATACCTGAAATGTGCCATGTCTGACTTTCCATCATCCCTCTACTTCCTGCCTGGAATGAGAGGTGATGGAGGGAGCACCAGCAGCCATTACATTATGTTCACGAGGGCCCCTCTAGGCTAGAAATCAATACTGGGTATCCAATGACATTGTGGTGCCACCATACCAGGCCAGACCAACTGTTTCCAGATTTCTTTTATGCAAGAGAAAAAACTTTTAATCTGTTGAAGCTGTTTATTTTTGTTAGGATTTTTTTGAAGGGGGAGGACTGGAAGAGGTCTGTTACTTGCATGTGGAAGTAATCCTAGCTAACAGACTGAACCCTGATGGATGAGTTGAGCTCACTGAGGGCTTCTTGTGTCAGCCAATGGGCAAGAGGCCTTACATGCTAGTTCTCACAGAATTCCTACCCCAACCCTATGGGGTGGGTTCTCTTGTTATCCCCATTTTTTTATTTTATATTTTTTATATACCAAAGAAACTGAGACAAAAACTAGAAAAATCACCTGCCTAAAATCAGTTGTTATTGGACCCATGGCCGTGGGTTCCAAAGCCTGTTTGTGCAGCCAACGTAGGGGCAGGAAGGGGCCTAGGCATGGTGAGGGTGGGAAGGTGGTCTGGCCTGGCCTGAGGCTGTGGAGAGGAGAGTAGACTGCCAAGGCCACAGTGGAATAGGAGACAGGATGGACAGGAAGGGCCAGACATGATCCTGTGGACATGGGAGCCAAAGGGAGTTTCTAGGGAGGGTGGAGCCACTACCCTAACTTGGAGAGCAAAGAGTCTGGGTGTAGGCTGCCTGCCTGGTCTGCTCAGTCCTGTCCTCTAGGCCAGTGGGCCTCATGCTTTAGATCCCAGCGGAGTCACCTGGGGGCTTGATGCAAATGTAAATTTCCAAACCCAACCACACTCCTCACCCAGGTGACATCTGAGGACCTACGTGCCCATATTCTCCCCCTTTTCTAACAGGAACCCAGCACTAATGCTCTCAGTCTGCTCCTCTACTCCCTTGGTTCCTGGGGATGGGCACATGGCCCCAGCCAGGCCTGTCACAGGGGCTGGTTCAGGGAAGGGTCTGTGACCAAAGCCTGGCCAATGAGCAGCAGCCCCGGGCCTTCTGCTGGAACATTAGGGAACAGACACTCTTTCCACCGCTAAGGGGAAGGTTTAATTATTGTGAGGCTGGTAAGATCACAACAAATAATAGCTAATATTTCTCATGGGCTGAATAAACACCAAGTTCACTGTTCCTAAGGCCACTCCATGTGCCACCATCAACCCTCACGGCAACCCCTCGCAGATCAGGACACTGAAGCGCTGAGAGGGTTGAGGAGCTTTCCCAGGGCTGCAAAGCCAGTGGAGATGAGAACTTTAATTGGACGCTGAACACTTTCTCTGACACCTCTCCATGAGTCTGGAGCTTCCAGAGACCACTGCTGCTTGAGAATGAAGGAAGCCAAGGCAAAGGAGAAGAGAAAAGACACTAAGAGAGAAAAGGGTCTGGTGACATCTTTTGAGCCCCCGGACCCAGCTGTGCCCTCTGGACTTGCAGTTACTTGAGTCAATAAATTCCCTTTGACTGGGTCTCTGCCGGCTGAGGATCACAGCGTGTCTGACATGGGCACTCTGGGAAACACCGAGGGCCACCCTGTTTCTCAGGACCGTGAGCTCCCAAGAAAGGGGTCTTCACATCTCCTACTTGCCTTCTCCCTACACAGCTAAGCCCCCAGCCTGGTGCACAGGTGTTTTCAATGATCTGGTCCATCCTGCTGTCCCTGGGCAGGGCCCTTCCCACATTCTCCCTCCAGAACCCCAAGAACTCTAAGGACCCCAAGACAAAGGCTCTCCATTCCACTCTCTTCATTGGGAGCTGTCTTTTGGCCCACATACAAGTAGGGGGACCTCAGGTGATTCCAAGCTCCCCTCCAGCCTGTCCCCACGCACCTGCCGCTGGGACTCGTAGAGGATGCGGTCCATGGTGTTGAGCAGCGTCATGCTCTTATAGAACTTGAGCACCTTCTCCTGTGGCAGCTGCGGATGGAGGCACAGAGAAACGTAGGGCCATTGGGACCAGACAGGACATGGCAAGGGACCTGAGCACGGGAGGCAGGGGGTGGGGGAGGCAGCTTCTCACATGGGGATCCTCGCTGGGGTTGATGATCTGGCCCTGCCGATCCATGACACGGTAGATGGGGATCCCAGAGATGACATTGGGCTGAATGAATTCCAGCTTGTCTACGAACTCCGCCGAGGCCCCGGGGAACTGGGGCTTGTCATCCAGGGATGAGAAGTGCTGCTGCTGCTTCTGGGGGTGCTGGGAGGGAAGGAGGGACACCTGAGTCAGGAGCAGCACCACGGGGACAGGCAGTATAACCTGATGGTTAAGCTGCTATGACCCAGGTGCACTCTGGGGCCTGACCCACAGGGTGTGAATTCCTGCTCCACCACTTTCCCATTGCATAACCTTGGGCAAGTTACTAGAACGTCTTTGTGTCTTAAGTCCTCATCCAACTGGGGTGAAAATAACATCTATCCCACAGGGTTGTTGTAAAGATTAAATGATTCAATAAAGTGACAGACAGTTCAAGAACTGGCAGCTATTATTATTATCAGAGTCCCAAACTCTTCACCCCAACATTCAAGGCTTCCCCAGTTTGGCCATAGAGACCCCTATAGCTCAATCACCCACACTACCGTAGGCACAGATACCCCTGCACGGTGCCCTCAAGTCAGCCAGATGAGCTCTTTACTGATCCCTGTACCCACC